CACTTTGGCTGTCCCCGTGGTGTAATACAGTTTCAACATCCTTAATTGGACCGTAGCTGACATTAACTGAATGGATGTCAAATCAAGAAAGCTTCTCACTTGCCGCAGCATGCATCATCCTATGGCTGATATTGATCGTCTGTATGTATCCAGATCCGAAGGAGGCAGAGGATTTGTTCAACTACAAAGCCACGTCTTCAAAGAGATGTCGAAGAGGTTCATATGGTTGCAAAGATCAACTACTAATAAATAAAATGATCCTGGAAATTTGCAGAAATCTCGGCACAGCATGGATAGATTACCATAAAATCTTTCATAGTGTGTCACCACCCTCTTGGATCCTGAAAGTTTTGAAATGTGCAAAGTCTCCTCGGTGATCGTAAATTTCCTTAAATATAACATGGAATTGTGAAAAATCACATCAAAGATACTGCCACTTCTAATTGAATATTCGACGAGGAATCTTTCAAGGAAACTCCCTGTCATCCCTTTTGTTATGTCTGTATTTAATCCCTCTTTTGCATGAACTAAACAGTTATAACTATGGACACAAAGTAAAAAAAGAAATTGTTTAATCACCTATTCTACATGGATGATGTGAAACTCTTTGCCAAAGACGATAATGACTTAAAGGTTATTCTCAATACTGTCAAATGTTTCACTGATGATATCAGAATGGAGTCTAAAAGAAGAGGATTCATACCTTTTCCAAGGGTATTATCACGTAATTGAACCCGAGCCGCTATCCATTACTCCACCGTGCCTTGAGCTTATGCGAGATAAGATGTCAATATTCATAAAATATCCATGCAGTCATATACTGCATATTGCGTTATAATAATTATTCACGTGGATTTTATGGCATCTATTTCCTTTAACCTAATCTATAAATCAACCATTCGCCCTTGCATGGAATACTGCTGCCATATATGGTCTGGTCCCCCTGCTATTCATCTTAAGGCCCTCAAAAAAAATACAGAGACGGATATGCAATACAATTGGCCCTGACCTGGCATCTCGTTTACAGTCGCTCTCTCACAGACGTGCCGTCGCCTCTTTCTGTCTTTTCTACAAATACTTTCACGGTAACTGCTCCGACGAGATACTTTCGCTGGTTCCCAAACTGCATGAATTTAAGCGTGCTACTAGGTTGGCATCTCGGTCCAACTCTTTCACTGTCGAAAGGGTTAAATGTAGCCGTCTCTTCTACTCCAATAGCTTCATGTCTTGCACTTCCCGTCTGTGGAATTTCCTTCCTATTACTTGGTTTCCCCGATCGTTATAACCTCCAACTATTCGACTGTAATGTCAATCGACATCTCCAGATGCCTTGATCTATTCCCTGTTCTTCTCTTCACCCTTTCCTCTATCACACCTCTCTACTCTCGCTCCCACTCTTTGTAACACTCTGTGTGCTAGTAACATCTCGCCTTGCTTGGGGTGAAATGCTTTTAAAAATGTTAAACAGGACTAGAAGGAAATACACGGTTTTCGCCAATTTTTTTATTGCTGAAATAAATATTTTATATATTATTTCATTAAAACATTAAACGCATTGGGCATTATCGCTTTCTCTATATTCCCTATCTTTCTTTCTTTCTTTCTAGAAAACATATATATATGAGGTTTGCAGTAAATTAAAAAATTGGGTTAGATATTTACACTAACAGCTATACCAAGAATTTGTGGGCAGGGGACTGGTAAGCTATATTTAAGGGTAGATGATACACAAGTAATTAGAGGGCGTAACGTACATGTTAAATAACTAATTGGCTTTCCCAGACACCATAGCTCGGGACTCAGGGCTGGACATTGAGGATCTGGGGACAGGAATGTAAAACCGAACAGTGTGGAAAGGGATTGTCAATGGAGTCCCGACCAACCATAGGGAGGTCGAAGGATGATGATGATGATGATGAAAAGGAGATGCCATATGCAAAATTATTAAGTGGTTTACGGCCGCATCTTGTTCAAACAATCACCGAAATTAAGAAACGTCGAGCCTGGTCTGTACCCAGATGAGTGACCACTTGGAAACGCCAGCTGCTGTAAGCTCAGATGCGCGAGTGGAACTGTTAATCGGAGAGTCGAGTTCCAAATTCAGTTGGGTTCGTTATATTCACTTACAAGGAAATACCCTTGGGATAGGCATGAATCCACCTCTTCTCTCTTCGGCTATGTGTTAATTAACAGAACTTGTAACAGATAATCATTATTATCTCTTAAAATCTAAAATATATTTTCTCCTCCCAACTATGAGTTATTTAATAAGACTTATACCATTAAACCATTATTATCCCCTCACCCCGCCAATTTTTTACAGTCTAAAAATATTTTCCCCGAGGACATATGGCACAGTGGATTAAAGGCGTTAGTTAGATCCAGTGACATGACCCAAAGAGTGTGAGTTCAATACCTGGTTAAGGCGGTGGAGAACTTGCAGAGGGGAATTAACAGGAGATAACAGATAACTGACATCCATTAGACATGGCACGTGGAACTAGAACAGTCTACCTCAGCAAGCGAAATAAAGGGTTCAGTTCGACATTCGAAACACCTGAAGACGGCCGGAGTATACAACTACCGAAACGTTGTGATAAATATGGCAACAAAGATGCGGACAATAGTCCGAATAATTTAAAAGTGTAAATATTTTCTGGCTTTAAATAACCTGCAAAGAAAAACGAATCAACCAAAGACTTAAAAGGTGTTTCTTTTTAAATGATAAGTAACTTTTATTATCGGACGTAGAAACTGGTGTGGTCTTTTGTTATGTTTTGTGTACAGACGTCTATTTCAGCCTTGAGACAAGCGTGTTTAAAATCAGAATTCGGGTTTGTCCATACCGTGATTGTAGAGATGTGGTCGATTCCTTCTCACGGACTGACAGCTTGACAAATAAAGATAGGAGTGAAGAAGCTTTCGCCAGTGAGCGCACTTCGTTGAAGTGCAAGTTGCAGATATTTCTGTCTTTGCCGCACCTGTTTACGAAGGCCTGTCCGCCCCGATGCTCTTTGCACGCGTCATGAATACATTATTCTGTTGTCTGGATATTTTGAGATAAAAGATTTTCAATGTTCACGGAATTAGTCGGATTGATAGCGTCATCTTCGTTTTCGAGTTTTTGTTGCACCGTTTCAGCCGAATGCCGAAAAGAGTGATGGAAACAACAAAAATGATGATACTTATCGAATTAATACAAAGTGCAAATTATTTTTGTTTGAAGAAAAGTAATTACTAAATTAAAGCTCTTGAAAGACGAGACATAGCATTTGCGACATCTCTCATTTCTAGAACATATTTGTTGGATTATCCTAATTCATATATTCTACTTTTGTATCGAGCACTATTTTTTAAAAATAATAACAAAAATACTAAAGAACTTTGGATTATTTACCTAACCAGTTCTTTCCTATTTTCTATATATTTTCACACACACACACACACACACATATATATATATATATATATATATATATATATAGATAGATAGATTGATAGATAGATAGATAGATAGATAGATAGATAGATAGAGAGAGAGAGACAGAGAGAGAGATACCGGGTGTAACAGCAAAATTGTCCAAATAGTGTAATATCATGTGATAATTGTCCATTACCACAAAATATTTAATATCTAAAACAAAAAAACACTAAATGAATTGAGTTTCGTTTACCCAGGTTTTCAGAGAAGATGTTTAGCCATCTTGGAACCATCTGTCGTAAGAATCACTGAAAAACCTTTTCAGTTATTCAGCTAGAAAGAGAACACGTTAAAATCGTTTTGTATCAGCCTCACTATCTTCCCAAATGAGCAATGATGAGAGCAAAAGGATCATTCATGCCTTCATCAATGGTACCAAAATTCATAATCTGGCTTCCATCTTCAAAGTTCATTCAAGAACCATAAGAGAACGGTGCAAAAAGGTTTTAAAAAGAGGGAACAGGTTTTCAGATAAAACTTTTAGCCATCTGAACACCATTTATCGTAAAAATCACGGAAAACCCCTTTGAGATATTCAGATAGAAAGAGAATAGATTAGAATCATTTTGTGTAAGCCACACTGTCTTCTTAACTAAGACGAAAAAGATCATTCAGGCTTTCAGTAATGATACCAACATTGATACTCTGGCTTCCGTCTTCAAAGTCCATTCAAGAACCATCAAGAGAACGGCGAATAAGTTTTAAAAAAGAATGAACACTAGAGAGGAAAACTGGATCAATAGGTTACAACAGCAAGGGATCATCATTTCAATTTAGAGTTAAATACATTCTTATTGTTCAAAGTAGAGTCCAATAGTGTTATAAAAAAACTCGGAGAATTCCAGTATGATATCTTTAATCATTTCTAGGATACAAGGGTTCAATGCTTAATCTAACAATTGAACAATTTTGTTGTTACTCAATTTGAACAATTTTGCTGTTACACTCGGTATATATATATGATAAAATATAGTTTTAAGGTATGCTATATTTCTGGGTTAAAGTGCTCAATATCAGGAATAGAGCGTATGTAAATACAAAAGTGGAGGTTGAAGTCAACACTCAGAGGTGACAGTTTGTTTCATCCTAAACGCATCGCCTGACGATTGTGTTTAGCATGAAACAGAGTGTCGCCTCAGGGTGTTGACTTCAATGTCCACTTATAGTGATATATATATATATATATATAGATATATAGTGATTTTCCAAACATAGCTTAGATGCGGCACAAGGCCCAGTGAGGATCGAACTTGCTAACCATTACACCGCCTCGAGGTGCCATATATATATATATTCTTAGGCAGTAAGTGACATAAACGGTGTTTCTTAACTCCCATTGACTTAACAAGATTTTCATTCAGCCTCTAAATCAAAATGCAATATTGTAGGATATGTCATAGGTCATCATTGTGTCATATTGTAGCATTGTAGCATTATGTCATAGGTCAAAACTCAAACCTTAAAGTCGACTGAGAATTCTCGGGTCTTCTGTCTTCCCCACCCGCTACGCCACCATTACATGTTCATAATTTTTAATCTTTTCTTCTCTTTTTCTCACTCTCTCCCTCTCCGTCAATTCAATATCCGACGAGGTACTGCGGTTAAATTTTTTTTATTTACTTTTTTTTGTGTTCTTATAATTTTTTTTTTCTGGACATGAATTTATGTTATGTAGAAATTGTCCGAATATTCTGTATTTCCGAGCGCTTTCAGCTATAGATCAAGATACATACATTTTTAAAAAAAATCCATACACTCAGTTAAAAGTAAAAAATAAATTATCCTTGATAATGGCTAAAAAAATAGCTGAAAGTGCTGGGAGATACAGAACATTTGGACAATTTCTACATAATTTCTGTCCAGAAAAGAAAAAAACATTATAGAAATACAAGAAAAATAATTAAATAAAATCTTAAGCACATTATACCTTGTGACAGACACACACATAGACAGACACACACACAAACACACACACACGCACACACACACACATACATACATACATATATATATATATATATATATATATATATATATATATATATATATATATATATATGACAATAAAAAGAACAGTAAGATATATAATTCGGTGTTCTTATTGATATTTTTATTTTTACAAAACAGTGCTCAATGTAAATTTACAGACCATAATTATTATAAATTAACTGATTTAAAATATGGTTTCTTCTGCTACACATGAATTACCATGTTTCAAAAACTGAAGCTAAAAATTTTTTTTTATATATATATATATATATATATATATATATATATATATATATATATATATATATATATATATATATATATATATATATATATATATATCTTATCGGCATAAGAACGTCGAATCTAGAGACGGTTTCTCCAGCCAAGCGGGTTGCATGTTCGAATCCTGCTGGTGAGCGCATATTTTTCTTTAACAAGATTTCTCGAATATTCGGGTCGGTACGCGAAAATAAATAAATATACTGTTTAATAAATAAACGGGGCGTCTACTCAAATATGGGTATCCACTAATAATAAGGCTTAAGTAATAAAATCTGTCGGGTTAATAAAAAAATCCATCAATTCTTTCGAAATTGCTTTACGTTAGGATACGAAACTGATTAGATATGTATGTTTCGAGAGACGAGGAAAGAATTGCGTTTATAGGTTACGATTTAAACTTTTTTTCTTTTATCATTATTATCGTCGATGCATTCCGTGGTTGATACGATCTAAAAGCACATAGGAATTAACGACGGTTTCCCCTGCCTAGGGGAGAAAATCACAGGTTCAAATCCTACTGGAGAGCGAATAGTTTTCGTTAATAAGATTTTTCGAATATTCAGGCCGGTAGACAAAACAAATCTCCAAATTTTTTTTTTTCTTTTTTTAAAGCGGAGTGGAAATACTAATAAAAAAGCAAAAAGTAAATCAAGTGACTACTTAAGTCTGACGCTATTCTCTCTCTCTCTCTCTCTCTGTCTGTCTGTCTGTCTGTCTGTATCTATCTATCTATCTATATATATATATATATATATATATATATATATATATATATATATATATATATATATATATATATATCCCCACATCTATCTACCTATCTATAAGATGAAGAACAAATATGAAATGTTTAGCAAGCGGAGAGGAAATACTAATAAAAAAGCAAAACCCAAATCAAGTGACTACTTTAAGTCTCACGCTCTTTCGCTACCTCTCTCGCTCCCTATCTATCTCTCTCTCTCTCTCTCTCTATATATATATATATATATATATATATATATATATATATATATATATATATATATATATATATATATATATATATATATATATATATATATATATATCCCACACATCTAACTATCTACCTACCTATAAGATGAAGAACAAATAGGAAATGTTTAGCAATCTAACATGTTTCCCTTTTATTAAAGCTTTATCAAAGAATGCGGGAAAAAGAAAGGAATTCAGGTATTTTTATTTTCGTGTTGTTTGATTTTTATTAGTTAATCAGGTTTCACGTTCATTTGACTTGTTAAACAAATGTTAGTATATTTTGTAGAGTTCCGAATTCAAGGAGAATCGACCCGTCCTTTCGAAGTCCCAAGAAATTTACGGATTTTAAGCCTAACTGAAAAACCGTAAATATTTCTTTATGTATGTAAGTGTATAATAATTCAAGATAGTCTATGTGGGATTAGGATGATAATTTGTGTGTGTGTGTGTAGTAGTAGTAGTAGACCCTTTGTTTGGTGGTTTTGCACATATCGATTAGAGAATATTTTTACATACGCCCCGTTTGTTTTAGATAAACATAATGTTAGATTCTTTAAGAATGGATTCATTAAAGGTTGGTGTGATGTAATATAATGTTTTTGACCAACCTTTATTGAATCCATTCTTAAAGAACCTAACGTATATTTACCTAAAATAAACGGTGTGTAGGTAAAAACTTATTGCTTTTATTTCCTTCTCTCTCTCGTTCTTTTTTTTCTCTTCTTCTTCTTCTTAGGTAAAGAAAATTCTCATCTATAATTTTTTTCCTTTTTTTTGTCTGGTTCTGTATTTTAGTTTTCTGTATATTTTTTTTTTGCCAGACATTTTTGTCAGTCTTTCTTTTTTTTCTATCAAATTGTCTTTCTTTATTTTTTTGTTCCAAATTATCTTTTACTAAATTAACCTCTTTTTGTTCCCTATTTTTTCTTCCTTTCTTTTCTTGCCTCTTTTTTCTGTCCTTTTCTTTTCTCTTCTCTTTCGTTTTATTTCCTTTTCTTCTTCTTTTCTTTCCTCATTTTTCCTCTTCTCTTTCCTTTTATTTCCTTTTTCTTTCTTCTTCTTTTCTTTCCTCTTTTTCTTTTTTCTTTCTTTTTCCTTTTCTTTTCGTTCCTGTTCTTTTCTTTTCTCTTTTTCTTTCATTTCTTTCCTCATTTTTCTTTACTCTTCTTTCTTCTTTTTTTCTTCTTTCTTTCATTTTCATTCTTCTTTTCTTTCCTCTTCTTTTCATTTTCTTTCTTCTTTTTCCTTCCTTTTCTTTCCTCTTCTTTTTCCTTTTCTTTCTTCTTCTTTTCTTTCCTCTTTTTTCTCTCTTTCTTTCCTCTTCTTTTCAAACATTCCATTACGTTATTCTAATTCCCTCCCCATCGTTTATTTCCTTTTCTCTCTCTCTCTCTCTCTCTCTCTCTCTCTCTCTCTCTCTCTCTTTCCTACAAAAAAAGAAATCACCATTTCTTTCGATCTGCCAGATGTCGTTATTTTTTTTTCGAGTTAAAAGTAGATTTCCAACTCAAAGAAAAGCCAACACCATGAATCTGTTTCTGCGACAAAAATGAATACAATTTGCGTGGTAAATTGGTTCGCTTCAGGGCAGACACGTCTTCCGAAATATATTGCAAAAAAAAAAAAAACGCAGCAAAAAAGATTCCAGTAACTAATTCCATAAATAGATATAAGCAAAAGAAAGCGAGATTCGTGCGAAAAGACTTTGCCCACAAAACTTTCTCCAGTTACAACAGGAAGTAAATAAACGAATCACCTGTTGACAAATGGATGATCATTGTTGCTAGATAAGGTGACATCTACATTTCGTTATTTTCTGTGGGTTGTCAGGTTGAAAGACATGTGTTACCAAATTTTGAATTTAGCTTTTCACAAGTCCGGTTAACAATTAGGGTCGCAGGTGCACCACATATATCGCAGCTCCAGTACTCGTGATATGTCGTAGTCTGACGGAGCCCATCCTTCCTCAGGCTGGTTTTGAATCTAGAGTTTTCCTTTGCCTAGATTAATTGTCATCTCAAGGCAGGAGAGTGATTGATTTCTTTTTTACGGCTTGTCAATCCTTCATAGGTTATTTCTAGGTACCTCCAAAGATTCGCTAAAAACTGAGCATGCCATAATGAAAAATGTCCCAAAATGAATAAAAGCAAAGTTTTATCATCAAAAGCTTTACGTTATTATTAAGAAAGAAAGATCAAAAGATTTTTTTTAATTATATTTTTATCCTTTTTAAAACGTCCGAAATTTTGGTTAAAAATTTAAATTTTTCTTGCGTCACTGGAAGACCAAATATTAGTATAAGAAATTTTAGCTTTTTTTCTTGCGGAGAATACACATTAATTTGGAAATTCTTGCAAATATCAAATAATTCTCGGATTTTAATGAAACTTTTAGGACTTATTCACAAATGAATAAAATTGTTTTAAAAATGCGTTTTTTAGAATATTTTGGTAAAAATATTTTTACATCTATTATACACACACACTTATTTAATTTTATGAAATTTCAAGAAATTAAATGTTTATATTAGTTAAAAGCAGAACGCCACGGAGAATTTAAATCACCAATTTACTTTTATAACGCAGGTTACCGAAAATTTGCTCTGAATCGTAAAATAAAAACGCAATAAAAAACTAAAACATTATTTAATTGGAAAAGCTTTTAATTGCTTTTATGAATAAGATATATTAAGGATATTATTGCCTTAAGAAAAAAAATCCGATGAATTTTACAAGAATTGTTTTCATATTTTTAAAATTTTAATTATAATAATTTATAAAGTTTTAAATATTTAAATTTTTACATTACTTTGCACTGCTTAGGCGACAATGTTATTAAGTAAAAACTATATTTATTAATCATAAATGTAAAAGCGTAGTACAATTTATCGAACGCGAATATTTTAAAAAGAATTTTGAATTTTTTGTGTGTATAAACGTGTCTATTTTTGTAAGTACGAACGTCTATACACGACATTATCAGAAAATAAGAGCGATATGTAAATGTAAAACCATAGTACCTAAAATTCAATAAAACATTTTTGGGTAGATAAAAATTATATAAAAGGGCTCTCACGTTATATTACGTAAGTAAATTTTGCAGATATGTACAACGTCCAAAATTAAAACTTCAAATAGTGATGGTTTCAACCTGTCAACATTATAAATAAACAGCTACCCACGTGTTAAATATGCATTTCTGTGATATTGTAAACTAAAAATAATTAATATTTGTTTCAAATCAGATTAATTAAACTTTAAATCAACTAATATTACTCAAATAAAGTTTCAGAAAAGTATATCTAATTTTTAACAAAAAAAATTAATAAAAATAATTATATTGTGATGGAAGACGGCTAAAATTGGCGTTAGAATCAGTGATTTTAGCAAATTAGAAACGAAAACTCCTTCCAGGCAATTTAATATTAGTTTTGAATTACAGTATAGGTATTGCGTTTCTACGTAAGTCACACACACACACACACACACACATATATATATATATATATATATATATATATATATATATATATATATATATATATATAATGTATTGCACCCCAAACAAGGCGGGAGTGCCACAAACACGTGAGGGGTTACAGAGAGAGGGAGCGAGAGTAAAGAGGTGTGATAGATAAAAGGATGTTGAGAAGGACGAGGAATAGATCAAGGCATCCGGAGATGTTGCATTTGAATATTCGAAGATTATAGCAAGTAAGAGGAAGGAGATCCACAAACAGGAAGTGCGAGACATGAAGCTATTGGAGTAAGTGATATATATATATATATATATATATATATATATATATATATATATATATATATATATATGCACATTTCATTGACTACGACAAACAAGGTGCTTTTACTTAGTTTTTTTTATACAATTTCTCATGCGATCTAATAATGAAACTAATAATGAGAAATTGTATAAAAAAAATAAATCAAAGAACCTTGTCTGTCGTATTCAATGATATGTGCATGAAAAAGAAGGATTGCTGCCTAAGTACACAATATATATATATATATATATATATATATATATATATATATATATATATATATATGACTGGGTTCTTTTGCTTAAGCAGAAGAACCCAGTCATGGCTGTCAGACAATATCTGCGACCACATTACCCCGTTTGCCAGACATAGGGTCTTCCAGGATCCACTCTCTTGCCCCAGGCACTTGACATAGGCCTCCGTGTTGAGTCTGAGGCCTCACCAACAAATTCGGTAGTTCGTTTCTTATCAGAACAATCAGAATGAGTTTTCCGAACTGCAGTACCTTCGTAATCAGCATTAGACTCATTCAACTCTTTCCGAATCCTCTGTACTGTCCTCAGATTGACACCCAAACATTCTGAAATGTTCATATTGGAGCTTTCGGCGCCGGTGTCAAGCAGCACAGTATGCCGTTTTCAAATTTCTGGCGGAGTGAATTGCATCATGGTGCTCTTTTTCCCACAGACGGTACCTAACTGACCCTACTATACTGTGTAGTCGACAAAAGAGAAAACAAACACCGCGCATGTGCGAAATTCAAAATATAAAATGGCGATAACTAGCCCATTGCACCCCATGTACATTCAATTATATATATATATATTGAATACGGCCGACAAGGAAGAATTAAGTTTTTTCAGCATCCCAACATCCTAATATTTTTCCATTTGTAGGAGTTTAGAGAATATAAAAATTGTCCATAATTTTTATTGGTTCGAGCGCTTTCGGACACTTTTAGAGCCATTTTCAAGGCTGCTTTGCCTCTGGTGTTGTTATTTTTTCTCATTTTCTAACTGTTACGTTGTAAATTATGTTTGTGTTGTTTTATGAAGATTATGATGATCGTGTGGAAATGTGTGATTCACTCCTCGCACATTAAATAAAGAATCTTCAGCTCTTGGAAAACTTATGGTTCACCGATGAGTCTATCTTTTATCACTCTGGTCGGGTAAACCGATACAGTTGTCGAATTTGGTGAAAATCAAACTCAGTAGAAATTCTCGAGAATGAACAAAACTCTCCGAACATGTTGGTTTGGTGTGCCATGTCTAGCATTGGGGTGACTGGACCATTTTTCTTCCGCATCCGGTAACACGACCGCCGCTACAGGAGGAAATTACCTGAAGATGCTGTAAGTGTTTGTTGTGCCACAACTTCAGGTGAGGAGTGAAATTGGTAGTCTTTTTTTCTTTTTTTTTTTTTCAAAAGAAGAGCCCCTACCCAGTTTGACAGGTTAGTGATGGATTCCTTGAACATCAAGATTCCTGACCGATGGATCGGTAGGAATCCTCTCAAATGGACTCCGCGCTCCTCTGACCTCACAAATAACTTTTTTTTTTCTGTGGAGCTATATCAAAAGCAAGCTGTATCGAACTAAGCCACGTGACTCGTCACAGCTTGAGGAAAGATTTTGCACGGCCTGCAGCGAAGATCGAGGAAAAGCTGCTGCAAAATTTCGGAGGGAGCCTGCGTCCAAAGTTGTCCGAAGGTTGTCGAAAATGGAAGCGCTATACAGTTAGTCTTTGAGGCCTTGGAACGTGATGGCATATCTATCAAGTAATCAAGATGTTGGTTTGGTGTGCTATGTCTAGCATTGGGGTGACTGGACCATTTTTCTTCCGCGATACCCCCAGTAACTCGACCACCGTTACAGAGAGAAGAAGAAGAAGAAGAAGAAGAAGAAGAAGAAGAAGAAGAAGAAGAAGAAGAAGAAGAGAGGCCTGCGTCCAAAGATGACTGAAAGTTGTTGAAAATGGAGGCGCTCATGTGAAAATATACAGCTCTATCGTTAAACCCAAATGCCTGTTAAATCCTTTAACGTTTGATTTTGTTTTAAAATAATACTCTTCATTATAATAATTAATAGCAGTATAACCTGTCTTCGACCAGGTCTTTCATTACTGGGAATTTTTACCATTGACTTGAAGCAGTTTAAGTTTAAAGTCAACCCACCCGAAAATCAATATTAGTAACAACAATTGGGTGCAACTGAGGCACATCCCCAATTTGAAGCGGGAGGTGTGGTTCTGAAAAGGGCCGTTTTTGCGTTTTCAGTCTTGCTTGGAAGTAACCTCTTTATTGGACCGTCATAATAATAATATACGATAATTTTTATTTATAATATAATTTTTTTTATAATTCTAATAATCTTTTGCGTTAGATTTCAACTCTATAAATTGATTATATGCTGTTTGTTTACAGACATTAAATTTTGCCTTTGATTTTTGCGCAAAGTGTAAAAAAAATCAGTTTTTTCGATTTTTCACCTTCAAGGTTGTAATTTTTCCAGCCAATTTGAACTCGAAACCATCACTGAAGAATTATCTATCAAACAAAAAAGAAATTCATTGAAAACGGATGAAAACTGTGGAAACACATAAACAACATCCGATCACACACGCACATACATATACACACACATTTTGAGAATTATAGATATAAATAATACGCTTTTTAATCATATTAACAATGTATTTCATTTTGATGCAACAGACTCGGCTGAAAATTTGATCTGATCATATCCATTCTACTTTTCACGTCGATAACTGT